AGAATCCTTGCTCTGAGGTTGTTTCTGCCGGGGCTGGCGGGGTCGTGTGCGGCCCCGGTACGGGGAGGAGGGGGGGTCTGCAAGGAGGGAGAGCGGGGCCCCAGCCCAGCCCAGCCCAGCCCAGCCCGGGGACAGGGGCCTGGTGTCCTTGTCCCGTCCCCCTCGGCCCTTCAGCAGCCGTCCGTGTGTCCGGGACACGCGTCCCCACAGCGTGACGTGTGTCCCCAACTCCTGTCACCTGCTCCCCACGTCCTGCCCAGCCACTCCTCACCCCGCGGCTAGCTCCAGGCAGGGCTGGGGGGACGTGATGGGTTGCTGCAGGGTTGAGACTGGGAGGAAGAGGAGATCAGCCCCCGTCAGGGTCACCCCGGGGGTTGCTGGCACGCGGGGCCAATGCTGTCTCTGGTTTTTAGACCAAGGCCTGAAAAATCTCTTTTACAACTCTTGCAGTGAGCCGGGCCCGGGGCACAGCCAGTGCCCTGAGGCGCAGCAAGAGGAGGAAGAGCATCGCCATTGCCTACGAATCTGGGCAGGGGGATGGTGCCGAGCAGGGGACATCTGAGCCCCAGAGACCGCGCTGGGAGCCCAGGGACTGGCGGCAGCAGCTGGAGCACATCCGGGAGATGAGGAGGAAGAGAGATGCTCCCGTCGATGAGATGGGAGTGGAGAAGTGTTATGACAGCAGTGCACCTCCGCAGGTAACACCCTGCAGGGCTCTGTCAGGCAGGCGAGTGAAAATACAGCCCCAGTTCTATAGCCTTCCCACTTCCCTCGGCCTCAGGGTGCCCCTGGATACATCCTGCTTCAGCTGTCTCCAGAATAGAAAAATAAACACAGGGTGTATCAGGACTTTAGGCTGGGCTTGCTCCCACAAGAGGTTACTGCAGGAGCTTGCGTATGAGAGAAAGCGTTCATCCTGCGAGAGGAGGAGAGTCAGCCGCTGCCTCGCCAGTACCAGGCTCGTTGGCTTCAGAGCCCTTGTGAAATGGCCGTGGGTGTTTTCTGAGCTGTTCTCTGCTTGCGTTCAGCCCGTGCTGGGCATTAGAGACCAACTAGCAAACACAGCTGTGAAAGGCCCTTGTCCTCCGCTTAAACTGCTGCCAGAAGAATTAGTGGGCTGAACCAAGAGTAGGAGCTGAGGCAGAAATAGTTTTGGACTTGGGAGTGAAAACCCTGAGAGTGTATTGTGGCAGTGCTGTCTTCTGGGGCAGGCTGGCAGGGCATGAAGACATGTCCCCTCTTAAAAATATCTGTAGGAATCCAAGGAGAGTATCCAGCAAGATGGCTTTGTAATACAGAGGAAACAGTATGGAGAAAAGGCAAGGGGAGCTGAGAAAAAACTTTCCAGGCTGCTTTTGTGCTTTTCAGAGCAGTGCATGAGCATAGGTCGGCTTCCTCCCCTCTTGCAGCCCACTTCTGAGGGGATACTGGTTGAAAGGAAGGGCCGTGCTGGGATGGCACGGTGCTCCCCAAGCCTGGGAACGCAATCAAAAGCCCCAGATGACACCTCCCTCCGAGGGGACCATTTGCATCAGTACAAAAAACAAAGCTGATGAGACTGTGGTGCAGCGCTGGGACTCGGAGCTGCAGGGCTGCGCGCCCTGGGCACGGCGCTGGTGTGGGAACATGGAGATATCCCGCAGGCAGGCTCGGCAGAGCAGCGGGAATCGCTGGCTCCACGGTGACCTGCCGGGATCTGAGGGAGGGGTCTCAAAGACACAGCTGCATGTAAGGCTGTCCTGAGTGCTGGCATTGTGCCGTGGGCTCAGATCCCTAGGGAAGACGGGTCAGCTTTGACTTCGGATTCAGACAGCGTCACGTGCTCCGCAGCCGTGTGGGCTGGCACCGAGTGCAGCTGTGGGGCCAGGGGGACTGCGGGGCGCGATACGGAAATAACTTCTCTTCCCTAGGGAAGCAGGGTCGTTGCTTCCAAGAAAAAGTGGACGTTGTAACCCTCAGCACACACCAGCGCTCCTTGCACAACTTCCATGTGCTCAGAGATTATCCTCCTTCCACCACTGAGAGATTTTTTCTAGTGCACCTGTGGTTTTGTAAACTTTGTAAGAGAGATGGAGGAAGGGTTGTATCCCACATTATTCTGCGTCAGTCTGGGTTACTTGCATCATTTTTGGTGGGGACACAATTGCATCTGGGGAAAAATCAGTTGAGAAATAGGAGGTGAGTTGTCTGAGCTAAACCCTGCCTGACGTCATCAGAGGAACTTCTAGGTTTTGTGCTTCATCTCCCAGTCTCTGTCATCCCAGTTCTTTAGATTCTGTTTTGTGAGGAGCTCACTGGAGGCAGATACCCAATTCCTATGGAAGTTTGGTGGGAAAGGGATGGGATTTTCAAAAGCTGCTTTAGAGCAGAAGTTGCATGGAAAATCATCAGGCGTTTGTACTTCTACGTCCTGTGGGGTCTCCTGAGAATCCCATCATCAGGAAAAGCTTTGTCTGGCCCTTCGTGGCTCAGCACTGGCATCTTTGGGTATGCGATCCCAGCAGAGAGTAGCTACTCTCTGCCCTTTACGCATGCTGGCTGCTTGGATTGAAGGTGTTTCTTTTCTCCCTTTATTGTGTGGTAGAATTAAAAGGCTGTGGTTTATTTCTGTTGCAGCCTTCCAGTCTCTTTTAGTTGGATATAGCTGAACCAGGGTAGGTCCATATTATACACTGGACTGCAAATGGTGCTGGATGGTAGAACTGAGCCCCAAAGGCGGCTTGATCCTCCTGGAGATCTTGGGGTGTCTCACTGTCTCCTTTTCCCCAGGTTATGCGCTACCAAGTTCTGCTGTCGCTGATGCTCTCCAGCCAGACCAAGGACCAGGTGACATCGGCTGCCATGCTGCGCCTGAGGCAGCACGGCCTCACAGTTGACAGGATTTTGCAGATGGACGATGTGACGCTTGGGCAGATCATTTACCCTGTAGGATTCTGGAGGGTGAGTGCGAGATCACAGCAGCACCCAATGTGCATGTAGAGGAACCCCCTCCACCCTCCTCCGCTCCCATGCAGCTGAGACAGCTCAGAGGCCCAGGAGTGGAGCACAGAGCGGGTGCAGGCTTGTCCTTTGCAGGCTTGTCCTTGGGGCCACTCACTGAGCTGGCAGCAGGTGAGGAAGGCAGGAGGTGGGTGCAAACCATCCCTGCTCCTAAGAGATGCTCCCCCAGCTGGTATTCAGCCTGCGTGCCATGCCCTGTGGTGATCTTTCCCCTGGAGTCAAGTTGAAAGGTGTATTTTACACCAGTTTTAGCAATTTGTATTCACAGCAAGATTGTTTGCTGCAGTCCCTGGAGTGTGCAGGAGAGGTTAGAGCTAATCAGGGCTCAGCATTTTGCTTTCAAGGAGAAGTCAAAGACCTCTGTCTCCCCTCTTCAAACTCCAGTGTGTGGCCTCACATGTAATGTACACTCAGGAATGGTTTGTTTTCTGAGCTGTTTGTCTCTCTTCCCCATATTGGAGGGCAGCTTGGATTTTCTGCCTTTCCCTTTGGTTTTCCAGAACAAGGTGAAGTACATAAAGCAGACAACAGCCATCCTGAAACAGAAATACGGGGGTGACATACCGAGAACTGTGGAGGAGCTGGTGCAGCTACCAGGAGTTGGACCCAAAATGGCCCACTTGGCCATGAACATTGCCTGGGACAGCGTGTCCGGGATAGGTAGGTTGTCCCATGTTTTCCCTGTTCCTCTCCTGAATCCTTCCTGATCCATTCCCTGGTCAGAGGGGAAGCATTGCAGCTGGGGAAACTGCCTGAGAGCATGGCTTCAGTTTAGTCATCTGCAGAGAATCTGGGTGAGTGAAGGATGTGACCCTCAACCAACCACTCACAGCCAATGAGTTGCTGTAGGATTTAAGCATAGATCAGCTAATGCTTTTCCCCAAATTTGATAGCAGAAATCCCCAAGGGCAGTAGAAATCCCCAGGGACAGCCACTCCCTCCCCTCAGATGCTGGTAAGCAGCACGAGTATTGCCTAGTTGGGTAGGCACCCTAACAGATGTGCTGGCAGAATAATGCTTGGCAATCTCTTTGGTGTCAAATGAGAGAGAAGTGGGGACAATTTTGTAATTTGGGGGTATTGTAGGATAGTCCGAGGTTATTTTTTCCCACGGTTGCTTCTGTTTAAACAAATCTCATTTGAGATTTTTGTTTGGCAAGCCATAAAAGGGCAGAAGCAGGGCTTAGTCAAAATTACCGTTTGAAATCGGTAATTCGTGATGGGTCATGGACAGAAATGGCCTCAGGCAATCTAGCTACAGAATTTCTGATCGGTTTTAGTTCCTGTGGCTGGGCAGTGGGTGAGCACAGGTACATTTGTTCACTGTGTTGTTGATCAGAGAGTGCAGGAGAGTAGCTGTACCCCGTGGAGCTGTGTGCCTGAGCGGTGATCGGCTGGGAGGGCGTCTGCAGTGGCCATGGGCCAGCCCAGGCTGTGGGCAGGTTGGCTTCTGCATGATGCTCCTTTGGGAGCTGCCGGCAGATGGGGCTGGATGATCGGCTGCAGTGTCCTGGGGGCCCCTGGGGAGAGATTAATATTCCAAGTGTATTTGCTGTTTGACGGAGGAGCCCTGGGAAAGCTCGGAATCGTGCCACCTGGCCAAGGTCAGCGAGGATGGCAGCTGACTCCTGCAGTCCCACTGGTGACCGTCAGCTCTACCAAATGTGGCTCTTGCACTACATTTAACAGCCCTTGGGGTCTGTTGTTCTCTCCTTGCTGTGGGGGAGGGAAGTCTAGAGGGAGCCAAAGTAGCCAACTGTTTTCCAAATAATTGTGTGCTCAGTTTTGATTTAGGAGGCAAGACTTAGTCTTCCTGTTTACAGCAATTTCCTGGGTTTTGCCCAATTAGCCGTAGAGACAGGTTTATCGCTGCTGATCTAACAATAATATACTTTGCATTCAGATCTTTTTAGCTCAAAGCACTCTATAAACATTCGCTTAAGCCCTCACAAACCCTCTTGTGTTGGTGGGTATTATGAAATGTGTTTTCCATCTGGGTAAACTAAGGGGCAGAGATTGCAACTTGCATAACATCAGCTGAAACACAGGGAGGAAGAGAACCTGGGACAGGCTGCCCTGTGCCTGCTAGATCAGAGCGCACAAGCCTTTGAAGGAAGGTTTGGTCAGATTGTGTGAGCGTGTCACGAGCTGCATGGTGGGGGGAGGTACACATCCCATCTTGGTTTTGGCTCTGGGCCTAGGGAGAAAGCAGCACGTCTGTTCTGTGAGCGAGCCTCCCCTCCTGTTCAGTCTTGCCTGTCCCTGCCAGCCAGCGGGCTGGACCCAGTGTGCTGTGCTGGGCATCTTTTGGCTGTGCTCTCTCCGTTCAGGTGTGTCTGCCCCCACCTAAACTCTGGGCTCTCCCTTCCTAGCTGTGGACACCCATGTGCACAGGATCACCAACAGGCTGAAGTGGGTGAAGAAGGAGACCAGATACCCTGAGGAAACTCGTGCAGCACTGGAGGACTGGCTGCCCAGGTGAGCCCTGAGACCCCAGCCTCCTGCCCCCCCTCCAAGCCCCTTGCACTACCTGCGGGAGCCACATCTGCTTTTTGCATCTTCAGTGACCACACTTCAGGTCCCCCTTTATGGGGGGACTAGTCTGCGGGTGTTCTCTCCTGGAGAGCTGTAACAGCAGCATCTCAGCTACTTGGTTGCTTCCTGGCTAGCAGATATATTGAGCACCACTAGTGCAGCCAGGTACCTGGAGGTCTTGCTGCCTGATTCTTGCCTTGACAAATTTACAATGACCCAAGCCAGGTGCTTTTCTACACAGGACCTTGCTGAGCCTAATAGCAACAGCAATATCAGACCATGGCTGGATTCTGGCCTTCACTGGTGCTTAATCTTCAGTATCCAGTGCCAGCTGCCAGGTCCTCATTGCATCTCTGCATCTGGCACATGCCTTGGCCCAAGAGAAGAACCACAGGCACTTTGTGTGTCTGTCCTTTGCTCCCCAGCTCAGTTCAGACCAGCCAGGAAGGCTTAGGAGGGCTGTTCTTAGCAGGAGCCCAGGACCTGCCTCCAGATGCCTTGGGAAGCTGAGAGGAACAGGCAGTAGGTGAAAGGGATCCATTTAAAAGCACAGGCTGTTCTTCAACCCCTCCAAGCAGCTGTATCGGAAAGCTTATGTTTTTCTTCTCGCTGCAGGGATCTCTGGAGGGAGATAAACTGGCTCTTGGTGGGCTTTGGCCAGCAGACCTGCCTTCCTGTGAATCCTCGCTGCAATGAGTGCCTCAATCAAGACATTTGCCCAGCTGCTAAGAGACGCTGAGGGATCACCCAGTCTTGGTAGAGCAACTAAGCTGCTTTGGCTCAGCCGCAGCCCAGAGCTGAGCCTGGTAAAGCTGTTCTTTGCATTGGGCTGGCTGTGTGACTGCAGGGAAATGGGAGTCTGCTGTAACCAGCTCAGCATCTCTGGGCCTCAGCTGAGATCTCCAGAGGAAAAAGGGTCTTTCAAAGCACAGCAGTCCTGCTGCGTCAGTGCCAAAGGTGCCAGCCCCTGTGTGAATGCTGGAGCATGCCCCGGCAGAGTTGCAGGCTGTGCCACGGTGGGAGAAATGCTTTGTCCTAAGGGACTTGCTGCTGCTTGTAAAGACACATTTAATAAAGGTGGGGGGGTGTGGGTTTTTTCCACCTGTGAGGTTTACTGGCATCTGTGCAACAGAGGGCAGTGGGGAGGAGAGCATGGGTGACCTCACCCGAGCAGGAGGCCATAGCAACCAGCCCTGCCAGCCTAGAGCAGGCAGCAGCAACCTGCCAGGCTGCCCACCTCACTGCCCGCAAGGGGCTCTGCTGTCAGTAATGCACAACAAGCCTTCCCGAGCCAGATCAGAGGCGGCCACCACCTGGAGAAGTGACCTTTGGGTCCTGGGAGCAGAAGAGCAGGGGGTGATGTAGAAGAGACAAGCCAGCGTCGCGCTTGGTTCTTGGTGTGCTGGCAAGGGTTACAGTAGCCACGGGAGCCAGGCTGGTGTGAGCCTCAGAAGCTGACAGAAGGGACATCACCACCGTCTGTGTTTTGTTCTTCAAAGAAAGGGCAGTGCTGACTTCACTGTAGGGCTTCAAAGGAATGATTTCAGCTACTCTTTAAACAGGCAAGGGAGGAAGCAAAGTTTATAATGTGCTAAAGGCGGCTCTAATTCCGCTCTGAAGTTCCCCACCAAACAGATGAGGAACGAGCAAATAAGTACTTGGTACATGGGAAAACAAAGTTTATTACTGACATTACAGTGTACATTATGTTTTTACAATGCAGCTGACAGCCTTATACTTTATTGATTTTTTTCCAAGTTAAATGTACAGGAACTGAATAATTACTACTGAGCTACAAGATGTCAGAAATACGGTAAGTGCTTTAACCAGGAGCAGTTTCCATGGACTAAGCAGAGATTAAGATTTAAAAATCTTATCAATACAGATTTGCATACCTGATTTCTTTTGACCTGCATTCAAAACTACATGTTTGGTTTTTTTACCCCCTCAACTACAGTGGTCGAGTTTTGTATGAGAAATGGGGTATTTACAAAGGGGTCTTTGCTCTCTGACATGCATCGGAGAGTGTGACGTTTGGGTCAGTGTTGCAGGGAACGCTCTGCCCTGTGCAGGCCGGGGCACTGCCTGGGGTTTGGCTATGCGGGCACGGGAAGCAATATGCATACCAAGAAAAAGAAGGGCTCCTTCAAAAGATTACTGATGTATAGAAGAAAATATTTTGGGGGAGGGCAAAAAGAGAGCAGGTAACTGTCTCTGAAGAGGGGGAGGGAAGGTGGGTTGTTAATGGCAGAGTCCTGGAGGGGAGGCAAACCTCTCCACATCCTGAGCCATCATCCCACTGCCAGTCTCGTCATCAACAGCCACACACCTGCACCGGTTCCTCTCCAAAGTCATTATTTCAATCTGTTCAGCCCATCAACATCCCTAAAAAGAGAACTTTCAGAAAAGAGCAAACTCCTCTCCTTCACCCCTGAGGCTTTCCATGCTCTTCGGCCAGCCAGCCAACAGCCATGGGCACCAGCTGCTCCCCACCAACAGCACCAGCCCCGCTGCTGCTGTCCCATGCCCTGAGCCCCAGCCCGCTGCTGAGGAGAGCAGTAAATGTTATAAGGCACCTTTTAGCTCAATACTTAAATACACCCAGAGCCATGATGATAACCATAGCACAGACTAACACAGAGGCCCTGGGCTCGTAACACAACAGTGCTGGAGGGCTGCAGGGCAAAAACCACAACGAGGTGTTTTAAAATGGTCATCGATGGCCAAAGGATTGCTGCCATTTGCTTTTAGCTGGGGAAAGTGGTTTTGTACTCGACTGTCCTGCTGGGCCCAGTCTCTTCCCACTGCTGCCTTGGCATCTGAGCTGAAATACTGGGCAGCTGCTGCGGCTCGGGGAGCTGCTGGTGCGTGAGGAGGGGGCCAGCCCCACCACAGCCAGGATCCTGTCCTGGGAAAACACTTCTGCAACCTCCAAGAGTGGTGTAGTTCGGCTTAGTCATCTTCCCTCGTGTACAGCCAAAGGCATGTCATAAAAGAACTTACACAGGTTTGATTCGTAATGCATTTTTGAGCAGGGTGTTTTCAAGGGAGGCCACAGAAAGCCAAAGCAACTGCCCACTCCACCACCCTGTCGTAGCCAGCCCCACAGAGACCCCACGGCTTCAGAGGATGCCCCCCCAACAGCAAGAGTGAGCCTTGGTCATGCTCATGGGCTGGAGGCATCAAACACCAGCCCAGGAGTAACAAACTGGGTGGGTGGGACCTGGATCCTGCTCCAGGACCCAGCACAGCCCCAGCCAAACCCCAGCACCAAGCCTGCAGCTACAGCCACATCCCCACATTCCTCCCCAAAACCAGACCTGGGTTGTGCTCTCTTTTGAGTCTGGCCAAAGAGTTTTTGTAGCATCCTGTGGCTCTCATCTTCTTGCTGAGCCTGCAGCAGCGCAGGGCAGGACTGGCCCTGCTCCCTGCCTTCCCCTGCTGCTCAGTGCTGCATCAACGGCTGCAAATGGTGAGGCCTGTGGTATTTGGGCTGTTGGGTTTGGGGTTTGTTTTTAAATCCTGCCCTCTCCCCTCTGCAGAGCTGTTGCAGATGGAAAAACGGCCTCTATTGCCAGGGTGGAAGTCACTGGTGGGGCGGGAGGTTCCTAAACTAACTGGAAACTTGTGGGACTTCATTAAAAAAAACCCCACGAACAACAAAACAAACTTTTTCGTTTCAATGTCAAATCCAACAGAAGCCATTTATAGCCACTGTCCATCCTCCCATTAATGCTGCAGATGGGGTGCCGGGGAGGGGGTGCCAGGTACACCCCACACCCTGCAGCCCCCACCATGGTGGGGGCATGAGGCTGTAAGACATTTGCACAGGGACACAGAGCATCCCACGGGGCTCAGTCTGGGACACCGGCAAAAACAAAACAAACACCCCAAATTAAAAAAAAAAACAAAACCAAGAAGTAATAGAAGCCTAAATTATGCAGGTAAGAAACGAGAGTTAAACTCTTCCAGTCCTTTCTCATAGGAACAGGGGACGGCGGGCAGCCAGAGCCAGGCTGAAGAGCAAGCAAGAAAAGGAGCTTTGGTCACATTTGTCTTATGAGAATCGCTGGTGAGTAACAATAATAATAACAATAATAATAATAAAAAATAAAAAAAAAAAGGACTTTAAAATACGCCTTGTAAAAGCAACCAGTGAAGAGCAGAGCACAAAGCATCTCACGTGGACACTGAAGGACAGGGCGTAGGCACCTCAGAAACGTCCGAGCTGGGGCAGGGGCAGGAGAGCAGCGGACGGCAGCCACCAACAAGGCTCAGAAATTGCTGAAAATCTCTCGCTTCTTGTTCCAGTCCATCTGCGGGGCCCTCTTCTTCACCCGCTTGGCCCGCACCTTCTCCTTGGCCTCGGCAGCCGTCGGGCTCAGGGTCAGCCCGCTCTCCTCAAATGGGTCTTTTTTCTCTGCATCTCCATCCTGTGTGAAGAAGGGAGAAAAGGTATCAGCCCACACCAGCATCCCCCCGCCACGAGCTCGGCCACAGTGTCCTGCAACATTTCAGGAGAGGAGTTTCCTCCAGTGTGCATGATAAGCAAACATATGGTGGGGGGGTTGGAGCAGAAGGTCAAAATCCTCCCCCCATGCCGTGTCTGTGGTTTCAGTCAGCAGCAGCATCCGTGTGGCTGCAAAGTTAATTACTACATTGCGTTTTGTGGAGTTTGTTTTCCTTGCCTGAAGAATGCGTGACTGCCACGGCTAGGAGTGGAAAAGAAGCTGCTGCCAGAGGGAAAACAAGCTGCTCCTCTGCTTGTCTGCTGGGAAAATAAAAAATAAGCCCCTGGTGTAGGCAGGGGCAGGAAGCAAACTGGGTGAGCCTCGGGGCTTGCAGGGAGGGCTTGTGGCAAGGCCTCCTCCTGTTTGTGTGCCCAAGCACCCATTTGCCCCCAGAGCACCCGTGGCTACCCAAGGTGGGGACAGGGGACGTGGGAGGACAGCAGTGCCTGTATGCCCAGCTGGCCATGCCCAACACAGCTACCCTAAGACACCACTCAAGGCAGCATTTGCTTTGGGACCTGGATTGAAAACATCATCTTTCCATCTGCTTAATAAAAGTACTTTTGTAATAAGAAAATTAACTTTCCTTTCTAAAGTCACAGTGGGAATGTGCCCTCAAGCCAGGAACCCCAGGTGCCACTAACTCTGACTCTCCTGTTCCTGCAGTAGGTGAAGGATGGCCACCACATCCTCAGGGTACAATTAACATCCTGGCCAAAATGTTTTCATTCCTTTGCATCCCTGCTGGGGACAGACCCATCACTAGGTCTCTGAGCCCCTCACACCCCACAGGTCTGGGAAACACCAATCCCTGTGAGGACTTGGCTCATCCAAGCTGGTTTCAGCAGGCAGCACACACCATAGTGGGCACAATCTAAAGCTTCATGGATCACATCTGTACGGGAGGTGCTGGGGAGCCCGGCTCAGGGAGCTGCACGGCTGCACTCTCTGAGCACCGCGCTCCTGTCCGCAGCAGGCAAACACCCAGAAGCAAGACCTTCAGTTTTAAGGAAACATTTTAAAACCTGTCTGCTCACTTTGCTGCCCTACCACACATGCGAAACTCCAAAATAATAATTTCACAAACCCCGCTGATAACCATGGGCAGGTCTTCCACCCGCTTTGCTCTGGATTAACAAAAGCAAACTGAACTGGGTGGTGGCTTGATTGAGCACGCCAGGCCACGAGCTGGGGGGGCAACGCTGCCAGGAACCCCCCCCGACCCTCACCCCCACGGACTCTGGTTTCTAGCACAGAGGTGGGACAGCGATCTCTGAAACAGCCCCAAAGGTGACTCCGTGGGAGGAGCTGCGGTGCTCAGGCACTGGGACTCAGCCCGGTTTTCCAAAGGCAGCAGCCATTGGATCAGGACATGTATTATTTAACACTCGGAGAGAAGCGGAGATGCCAGACTGCAGGCGTTCGGCCACAGCTCTCAGACACAGCTGGCGTTCGAGATGTTTTAGAGGCTCTTGGTGCTCAGAGGAGGCTGCCTGAGCACTTGCTGTCGTCAGGCTCCCGTTCCCAGCCGGCTTGGGGCAGGGGACAGCACCAGAACCGAGCACCACCAGACACCCACAGAGCACCTGCATGGAGACATTCCTCTGCTTTTAGCAGAGCCTCATGCTAAAGATGAATTTTTGAGCACTTTAGGAATCCCCTACTTATGATTTAAAAAAAACAAAAAACAAAAAACAAAACAAACCCCCAAACTGCTAAATTAGTAACACCAGGAGAGTACCAATCCATGCCTTGTGTTTGACCTTGCACAGCACGGTCTGCCTCTTCTCTGGCCCTTCGCTGTGGCATTCAGCCAGGCCCCACCAAAACCAGCCCAGCAGGTCACCAAATCCATGCTCCTCCCAGCTCAAGCAGCTCCTTTAAACACTGTGATAAACTCGCTCTGCTCCAAGCTAAAAGCAATGTGGCTTTTTGTAAGTTTTAGCCTGCCTTGTTCCCGTTAGCAGCACTTCACAGCTCTGCTCCTCCTGCCCTGGACCTCATCAGTGTAATTAATCACTTAAGATCCAAAGCTCTTGTAGACATCCTTCCATCTTACACTCTTTTCAAATATTTGAGCACAAATCACTGCCTAACAAAGTGCCAATTAACTTGCTGCCATTACCCTTTGACGTCCTCCTCGGTTTGGGGCAGTGCCACCTCCTCCCCAAGGCTATGACACCCGAAGGGACAAACACGTATGAGTCCTCCTGGAGTCGGGACAGAGCAGGCATTGCACCCTCACAAAACTCATCTCTTAATAGGGGGCATCTGCTGCTGCTGGCAGAGGCCACATGACCCCCACGAGCTTTTCTGTCCCCCAAAGAGGGGAAAGAATATCTCTGGGCCAGCAGCTCATGCTGCTACAGCACGTCACCCCGAGGGTCCTGAGCCCTCAACCAGCTGCCTGAGGAGTTATCGATCCATCCCAGCAATGTGGCCACCTCTGTGCTGGAACCAGCAGCTGCTGGTGGCTCACGACTCCTCTTCAGGCACATCTACAGTGCAAGGGATGAAAAAAACCTCTGGATTTTGCTTGCTGGGTGGATGTAAGCGCACCCAAGTCTGTGAGACAAAGCTGAAAATGCATTGAAAGGCATTTACACAGCACTGTAAGGCAGGTGGGAGGGGGAATGTTTGGGGTTTTTACCTCTGATTCCTTCCCAGGACTCTGAAGGTCACTGTGAGATGAAGATGTGGATCCTCCATTCAGCTAGTGGGAATGAGAATGTTAGTCCAGTTTGCACAAATCAGAATTAGGAAAAAAAAAAAAAAAAAAGCTAGGCAGAAAAATGCTGCAGCCTGGTGGGGACGGACATCCCAGCTACCCTGGCAGGCAGAGAGCAACACCTGGCTTGTCCAGGGACAGGAACAGAATCTGGAGGGGAGGAACCTGCCCAAGGGACCCTGCACACACGTGCACGTGCACACACACACACACACGTGGACACATGGGAGTTCCCTGGGATTTGCTGCTGCTCTCCTGCAGCCCCACGCCGGGCAGAGCTCGGTCCCCATCCTGCCAGCCCTGGGCAGCCACTCACCTCCTCCTTCTGTCACCGGGGACAATGATTAAATGGGGCCAAAACCAGCCTTGTTGCTGTTACAGCTTTAACATAGCAATTAAAATCAGCCAGCAGCAGTTAAGATGAGCTCAACAATCCTGGGGAACATTGTGAGAATCCCCCTCTGCTCTGCAGACTGGCAACTCATCCCCACATGCTCACGTGTCGCAGGTGGGAGCCGAGGAAAACCGGCAAGCCGGGAGCCTGACCTCTCCCTCCTGATCCATCTTGATCACTCCAACACATTCCCCTAAACTGCTGCTCAGGCACCCCGGCCATCGGGGCATCCTGGAGCAGGCAAGTGCTCACCTGGGTCTGTGCGGATCCGTTTGTCAAGGGCTGAGGTACCACACCTAGAGACCACACAGAGAAAACACGTGGTAAATGCACTCTGCCAGGATTGCTGGCCTCGGGTCCTGGGCAAGCACCCCCCAGCATCGCCCACCCGGCCACCCAAGCCCACCTTCCCCTGTGCCCACCCCACCAGCTCCACCAGCTCACATATCTTGTCTCTTGACTTTGTCCTGCGCTGCTTCTGCACTCATACAAACGCTTCTCCATCCCCCTTGTGCCCTTCTGGAACCAAATTCTTTCCAATTCCCCTGACTTCACTTGATTTCACCATGTTTTCATGAGAAGAAAACACCTTCCAGGCAGGGGACCAAGTAACTTCCTTCCACGAGCACTAAACTCAGCACACTCCCATTTTTTTGGCTGTTAAATAATTTTTTTCAGAAGCTATTAAATCAGGACTCTTAAAAAACAGCCCCACTTTAATCAGAAGAAAACACCTTCCAGGAAGGTGTTCTCAGCAGAAAAAAACACCTTCCAGGCAGGGGACCAAGTAACTTCCTTCCATAAGCACTAAATTCAGCGTGCTCCCATTTTTTTTAAAGTAATTTTTTTCAGAGGCTTTTAAATCAGGAATCTTAAAGACCAACCCAAGATTCTTTGCCAAAACCAGCATCTTGTTGGTGTCAGTGTGCAGCAAACAACCCGCTCCCCAGGTACCCTGGCCTTGAGTATTTTATCATACTGAATGTTAGACTCGTGTTTACAGTACGATACGCTCTGAGCGATGGTCATGAGAAGAAAGTCAGCTCATAGCAGAAAAGATGCTAAAGTCTCTGGTATCAGAAGAAGCTAAGAGATAATGTTATTTAAATGAGAAGCAAGCTTCAAATCATGAGCAATATTAAAGTGAAACTGGACTTTAAAAAAAGTAATTTCAAAATTTGGCATGTCTGGAAATATTTTCATGTTTCCTTAATCCTGAAAGGTGCATAAAATACAGGCATTGGCTAAAACGTTGAGGGGGGTAAGGATCAGCTGTAAGACTTTGAAATTGTCCGCTTGAGGTCAACGCGGTTTGATTAAAGAGTGCAATTATTATTTCCTCTTATCCGGCAAACAACAGAAGTTACCAGAGCACTTTGTCATCAAGCCAGGCAGCCCCAACTCTTCATCTCTGGCGAATGCGTCAAGCCAGCAGCGAGGGCTGTAGAGCCAAGGTGGGGGCTCGAGCACCCCCCCCACCCCCAGCGTGCCCGTGGCCCTGGCTGCGTCCTCACCCCAGGGAACAAGGGCTCCTTTATCACTCGTGCCAGCAGACAGCTCTCGCCCCAGCTCCTCCTCGAACCGATGTGGAGCATCTGACACCACTTTCGCCCCGTGCGCTTCTCAACACTGTTTGACCCATTTCTTGGGACAAATCTCCCCATTGAGCATCTGAGCGAGCTGGGGTGCAGATCAGATAAGCACAACTGTACTGGGAAACAGAGCTCCCCATTCAGCTGCAGGGGGCAGGACAGGCTGGGGAGGGCCCCGCTCCCTCTCCACCCGGGAGCCACAGCACAACAGGTTGGGGAGTGGACAGGCAGCTTTCTCTGCCAGGTTTCAACAGCAAGGAAAATATTTTCTGCAACAGCCACCCCTGTGATTGCTGTGGCGTGAAACTCTTCCTCCTGCACACACAGAGAGTTTGCTCTGGTATTTCTCAATGCTCCTAATTGCAACGTGGGATTTATTACACTCTCCCTCCCCAGACCCCAACTCAGCACCCCAGCAGAGCGCTCTGCTCCCCCAAACCCTGAGGGTCCACCCACTCTAACGCCAGACACCCTGTCTCTCAGGGTGTGGGTGCTGCCCCCAAAAATGGAGGGGTCCAAGGAACAGCCTTCAAGGAAGTTTCCCAGCCCCAACCATCTAGACCAGTCCCAACTGAGCATCCCTCCGTGAGCTCATTGCTCACTGAGCTCCCCCCCAGATCCCACTACACTTTGCCAAATTATGCAGCAAGTTCCTAAATTAATTATTCACTGTGTAAAAATAACAATTGGGTTTTGGCTAGATTAGGAAGTATTCTCTCTATTTAGAAATAGCTGGGTGGTGCTCAGGAAACAACCATGGGATGAGACAGAAGGGAAACATGACTCTCCCTCACTTCTGAAGTCCCACGGTGGGTCACAGGCACGGTGGAGAGTCACCCAGGGAAAGCGAGGTCTCACCTTTGGTGTGCTCCTCTGTGGGGGTCACCCCCAGCTTCTTGAAGTAATCATCCGTTTCGGGGTCCACCACCAGGAGCCTGGCTTCGTTCTCCCGGGACTTAATGTGGGACACCACCTCCGAGTGCCGCAGGCCTTCCACGTTTATCCCGTTCACCTGCAAAGCAATGGCATCAGAACCCAAGTCTGTGCCCCCCACAGCAGAGAAGCTGGTCCCAGCTCACTGACCCCCAGAGCAGACTCCTCATTCCCTAAGGGATGAGATTTTCCTTTCTTAATTTCTGTTGGGATGATAGGAAGGCTGCAGGCTTTTTTGTCCCCATTCTCAAGCCAGCCATGGTCTCCTACCACCCTCCACCCACCTGGTGGGACGACAGAGCATCCTTCGTGCTACCGCACACCTCCACTCCTGCCCACATCCCAAACGCATCCATCGGGAAGCACAGATCCCAGACTCTGCCATCACCTCTCACGTCCACATCCTGCTGAAACACTCCTGCTCCCCTCTTTAGCAATTTCAAACCCAGCCTTGACCCTGGATGTGCCCCAGGGATCTCAGGCTGCAACCATGTGCAGGGACAGCAGGCTGGGTGCCCCCGGTGTGTCCTGCTCACCCACCCTGCCCAGGCAGCTGTGGTACTACCACACCATCTTTCATCCCTCCACGATAGAAAACCGTGGATTTCCCGTGCCTGCTGCACGGATTCATTTCTCCCTTCCCTGTGTGCGAGCTGGGACCTGCTGGGGAACATGATCCTCTGCTCCCGATTGTTCCCCACAGTGAGGGGACAATTGTGATTTCGAGGCATTGTTCACAGTGGGGAATGAATCACCCTTTGTCCCACAGGGGAAGGTCTCTGCACCGCCCAGCCCCTCGCTGCTGGACACGCTTTTGTGTGATAATCTCTTTCCAATGCTCCAGCCCATCTCCAGCAAAGCTCGACCCACCCTTTGCTGCCCATCCGGCCTTTGGCATCGGAAGACGCCTGCCCGTGGGACAGCAGAGCGATGCGTTAGTTGGCTCGGACAGAGAAGGGCAGAGAGCTAGTGGGGCAGAGATCACTGGGAATGGAGTAACCTCCTCTCAAAAATAGCTACTCCCTTACTCCAGCTTTCTGAAACAAACCAAAGGCTTCAGAAATCTGTCTAGCACAGACAGGCCTTTGTTAGGAGAAGTGGACAGCAGGTTCTGTTTGTTTTTCTAAGCTGCACATAACGTTGTAACTGCATGCCTTGCATGCACACACTTGCTCTCCTACAGGGCTATGGCTCTCCAGGATCACCAGCAACAACATAGTTTTATTCCTCCTCTGCCTGCAGACAGACAACTGCCTTCTCCCATGCCAGACCCTGAAGAGCAGAGCACAGTGATGCCAGAGCTGGGGACCGAGCCTGGGAGTGGGGTAACCCAGGTCACCGAGCTACACTAGTGTGGCATTGCCCCCGCCCATCCCTGGGAACTGGGACAGCAGATGAGGCTGGTCCTGGCCCAGCCGTGGACCCTTTCACCTGCGGGTTGTGCTGAGGCTGTCGGGGGGTTGGAGCATTGACATGACCCAGAGGTGACAGCTGGATGTCTGTGCCACAAAGGGACAAGGCGAGTGAACACTGCAGAGCCTGAGCGGGGCCAGCTCCGAAGTTTGGGCTCCCCTTTGTGTTTTGGATGCCTCAACAGAAACCTGGGGCAGAAGCAGGTCCTGAGAGCCAACCCCTTCCCCAGGTTTTGCATCTCACTGGCTACCTCAGCTGCCAGCTTGTAACCCCTCTCTGTCCCCAGCATCCCCCTCCTGTCACTCCAGGTCACCCCAATTCATGCCCAGTGCTCACCCCGGGTTGAGCTTGGCCAGACAGCAGGGGGCTGCTCTCCCCCCACCCCAGCACCCCCAACCTGCCCAGGGCAGCAGGGCTGAGGAGCATCAAATATTTATCAAAGCCCCAAAGAGCAGGTACGGAGGGGATCAGGTTTCCGAGCTCACCAGCTCACCCCTCACCGCTTTGTGTGTGCCAGGCGCTCGGCCAAGCACCAATAAATAAATAACACAGCTCCTTGCTGTGACACCGCGCTGCCGGGAGCTGCTGCCGCCGGTGCCCTGCTCACAGCCCCTGCCCCGTGCTGCTCCTGGCATTAAACTTTCAGGTGCTGGGGAGAGGCAGCAGCTCCCACTGCCTGGGGAACAATTATTGATGGGGCTAGAAAGCAGGCAAGTGCTGTGACCTTAGTATTTCCCCAACCTGCCCAGCTCTACGGGATGTAAGCATTTTCTTCCAGGAGTGAAAACCCCTTTTCCCCCTGAGCTGGTGGCGAGGGCCACGGCTTGGTCCCCATGGGAGGGTTTTGGGGTTCATCCTCCTGGGGAAGGGCCACACATCACACCAAGCAGGGGACATCCACGAGCTCCCACAGCAAAAGGGGTGATGGCTGCCAGGCCTGGGGCACCGGCTGCCAGATCCAGCCCCACCCATCCCTCTGTCCATGTGCTGCCCAAGCCCTGCCCGGAGCACAGGCAGCTCCGGAGGGGGGGACCTCATTCTTCAGGAAAAACACAAGACACAAACAAGCTGAAGGAAGGGCAATTCCCAGTCACATCAAGACACGTGCTGTCCAGCACTCAGTGACCAGGAACCTGCTTCCAAGAGCTGTTTCTCTCCACTTTTCACAATTTTGGGTCTTCAAATCTCTGCAGAGCTTTTTCCCCTCTTTTCCCAAACACCTGCCTGGCAGCGCATCAGCTCAGGGGGCAGCACTGACCTGTCCCTGTGCCTGTGGCTAGCTGCCAGGCCGGAGGGTGGTTGGGTGGGAGGTCACCCCCTCCGCAGCGCTGGGATGGGTCCCATGTGTCCCCAGCACCTCTTTGGCTGCAGCTCCAGCACCGGGTGGCATCAGACAACGCTGCCAACTATGGGGCTTGCTGTGCTGCAGGGGAGGGAGATGGGCACCCATGGAGCACTCCATCTGCCCACAGGATCCCACTGCCACCCAGGCAGGCACAGGGGCAGCAATTTGCCTGCTCCAACCCTCCTCTGTGCCAGCCAGAGCCAGCAGCACCATCCTCCTTTCAGTGCTCGCAAGTGCCCGCTTTGAATGAGCTGCTGAAGGACCTTGAAGCCATTGCTGAATCACCCACATCAGTTTTACAGCTCTGTATTATGGAAGAACATGGATGATCTGATGGAAAAAGTCACAGGATGGGGGTTTCTCAGCTTGTGGCTCCCTGAGGGTCCCATCACCTCTGCTGTCCCTCTCCCCACCTGCAAGAGGAAGACAGGACCCGGCTGTTCCTGCCAGGCTGGGAAGGACTGAACATTCCCACACAGCATATGCTGAGGAAACCCCAAAAGGCTTCCCAGGAAGCCAAACCCCTGTGCCATTACCTCCACCAGCCGGTCCTGGGGCCGTAGCCCCGCTCTGGAGGCCGGCGAGTCGGGGTCGACCGAGCGGATGAACTGCCCTGGCCGGGACTTCTCACTGTGCAGGTTGAAGCCATAGCCACTGGGGCCTTTCTTCAGGTGGCAGAGACGTGGACACAGCTCCTTCTGTCCGTTTAAATCCTGCTTAACAGAGGAGAGGTTGAGGGCAGACAAAACATTTAATTTATAGGTTTGGTTTTGCTCTAAAGCAGATGCAATCATAAATAAAGCTACCAAGGAAGCACCATATCTGCACCCTGAACAGGGACAGGTTAACAAATGAATTTCCTCTCATTGAGTCTATTTTAGAAAATCAATTGTCCAAAACCATTCCAGAAAAAATTAAAACAACAACAAAAAATGCATTTCCTTCACCAGAAGCAGCACAGATATAATCCACCCATACACCAAGAACCTCCTGGCAGCAGCCAAGCCCCACGGCTGCAGCCCTGGGCAGGGAGGAGCCAAACCCGAGAGCCCAGGCGAAGCACAGTCTCACCAAGACACTGGATTAACCTTAGTTATTTATTTAAGGCAGTGCCATGCCCTTGGTCCCAGTGACATGGGCATCGCTGGCAGGTATGATCACCTCCCAGCAGAGGGGCTCTGGGGGCTGGGGTGATGAACCCCATGCCTGGCAGCTCCCTGCAGCACGGAAAGGCTGAGCTTGCTATAGGATAAATGGAGGATGATGCTGTAGGAGGCACAGGAGCACGTGAGGAGTTTAACACTTCCCTCTATCCCATGGAAAAATGCTTTATGGCTCCTCAGGGCAGCTAGGGGAGCAAGAAATCCCAGCTTTTCTCCAGATCTGCAGGACCCATTATACTCCCGCAGACACTGCTCTCCCCACCAGCCTCCCCATGGCCCCTTCCCAGCCCACAGCTCCTGGCACAGCACCATGTCCCTAGCAAGAGCTGTCTTGGAAATACAGATTTTTATTTTCATCTGTAATTTAAGGAGAACATCCCCTGTGGCTGAGTTTTTAATCTTTTAATGAAAGAAACGCCGCTCCCCTCCTGCTAACAGTTTTTCAGATCACATTTATGGTGAAATCTCGTACAGCCTTTCCTTTCAAATAAAAAACCTTGAGAGGCGCCATGAAACACCAAACCTGCACCCCCTCCCCTCCCGCCACATGCCCAGGGATGTCCTCTATCCTCCAACAGCTCCTTGCACTTGCAGCCCCTTGGGGTTATTTCTGCAAAATACCCCCAGTGTTGCTTAAAAGCCACTTCCTCCCCAGGAAATGCTGCAGGGGGTGAGGGCATCCGTGGCTGATGCCCAGGAGATGTGGGGGGGACCCCAGGGACAATGCCAAAGGGTTCCAGCTCCACAGAGACCTTGTGCCACAGGAACCAAACAAGCCAAAGGATGTTTTCCACTGCCATTGTGGAGCTGGCTATCCGCAGGGTCCTCACGTGTCCCCATGACAATGGGGAATAACTGTCTGCAACAACACAAGGTGATTTTTGGCAACTGTAAGACATGGTGGGGCAAATATGGAGGGCTGTGAAGAGCTGAATCGATTCACTGGCACATGCTGATCTCTTGGCTCCCCACGGGACAGTGTGACCCACTGATGGTACCACTGGCTCAGTGCCTGATTCCCACAGGAGGAGCACAGCGTGCCACCCACCCCATTGCCAGGCAGACAGGCACTGCCAGCGAGCTGCTGGCTTCTGCTGCTGGGGCCACCATGGCTAAGTCACTTCAGGGACTGAACCTGTCTCCTCCATCCCCTCAAAGAAGGGATTTTCCAGAGGAGCACCAGGCAGGGACATGCAGAGCGACAACCCCCAGAGACCCACCATGCTGGGGAATGGCTCTGCCAAGCACAGGGCATCAACTGTCACCCACACTGAGCACAGGCACCATCAATCACATAAACACCCTGGCGGGGTGACACTGCTGCTGCTGGCAGGGGACAGAGGCCACAGATGACAAGAGATAAACCCAAATAACCCCAGTAAGAAATAGATGCTTCATGCCAGAGAGAATATGTGTCCCTGTGCTGTGAGCCATGCCCATGGCCACCCGATGAGCAGGGGCTCCAGAGACCCCCCAGCACCCACTGTCTGCTGCCGGTTTAATGCAATAGGGTGAGACCTGAGGATGGAGTGAGACATGGGGACAGGATGAGGGGAAGCAGAAACCCCCTACGACTGCCTCAATGTGGGGGGAAACTCCCCCTCACCCTGCTGGCGCTCGCTCTGACCCCATACACACCCGCCAGCTTGATGGGATGTAAATAAACATCCCAGAACAGCTCGCCTCGAGGTGCTTATGAAATACTCGAGCTGGTGGGGTTCATAGTGTGTTGGAGGAGTTCAGGGGATGACCACAGTCTCCATCCCCACACAGCCCTTTTTTGGGAATACAGACACAAAAAATCTGCTATTTCCCCCCATTACTTAAGGCTGCCCCTTCCCAGGGGGGCTGAGTACACCAAACTGCCTCCTCCATTCCCTCCGTGACTGGCTTCCCCACACTGAGCTCTCCCAAACCCAGCCCCTGCAGGGCTGACAGCCTGAACCTCCCCAGCCTCACTGAACCCCAAAGCAGGGAGGTGACAGCAAAGCCTTCCCCAGGGCCAAGCACCAGCACTCAGCAACCCCTGGCCAAAGCAAGAGCTGGAGATGTACCCGCTTGCACCCATCTGTCCCCGCTTGCACCGGTTCATGTCAACTGTGCTCTCCAACAGTGAGCCATGAGATCAGTCCTGGAGTCCTGGGGCAAAAAGCAGGGAAATTCTGGTCATGGCTGCAATGCCCAGGGGGGACAGAGGTAGATCAGGACTCGGAACCAGCTTGACCAGCTCAATCCCAGCACCAGGGGAAAAGAAAAAAAAAAAAAAAAAAAAAAAAAAAAAAAAAAAAAAAAAAGAGGGATGTGAGATGACCGGCCCTCACTAGATGCCAGGTCAGAGCTGCCCATGATGCCACCACTCCAGTGCAGGAGGGACACGTTGGGCACTTCGACTCCTCAGGGCCAGAGCGCCCAATTCTTCAAAAAGCACTTAAAAATGAGAGCTGCTGTTGGTAGCACCCGTCACGGGCATCGGGGCTTGCTCAGACCAGCTGCAAACTGTACCTGAACGCTTGCAGAGATTAACTTGGTAATGCAGCTTTTTATAAAAAGAGCACTGAGGGAGCTGAGCTGCGGGGATGCTACCAGGACAAGTTTTGGAGGAAAAAAGACCCACACAGGCACCACGATGCTCTTGGCATTGACACCTCAATGCACAGATTGGTTCTTAAAAGGGAAAAAAAATCATCACTGCAACACCCACTGATCGATAAAACCCATCTCCTACCAAAACAGGGCAGGGGTCCCACAGCACCTCAGATACCTGGCAAGACCAGCCCCTCTGCCATGACCCCGTGCTCGTATCCTCTCCCTCTGCAGATTTAGCACGCCTGTATTTTTCCCATGGCCCCAGAGCAGTTAGTTCACCCTATCTGCAAACATTTCCAGCTTGGAGTTCTTCAAAAACTGAAGAAAACAGGAAATGATTCAACCGGCCGAAGAGGGTCGGATCTGCACGACCTTAAAGGATGCACGGGGCTCTGTGCAGCTAGGAAAAGGGGGCACGAGGGGAATGCGTCTGGGATCACCTACTTAGGTTTAGAAATTACTTTTTTAACCATTTTCCTTTTACTCTGTTTTTAAAGGGTCAGCAGTGCAAAAGTGCTGAAAAAAATCATGTGAAAATGCCACATTATAGCTGCTGTCCCAGCATGGGGATCCCCAGGGCTTGGCAGGAGGCTGTGGGGGAATGTGCTGGCAGGGGTGGTCCCTCCGCTTTCAGGGGATCCCCTGAGATCACCAGTGAAATCAAATTACTCAATAAATAAACCACACAGGGGAAAGCTTTATCTGCAGGATCCCTTTGGCTGAGAGGGTGGTAACCAGTGCCGTGTCCCACGTGGGCTTGCTCTACTTGCCCCACGAAATCTTGAATTCAAGGTCCTTAACTGAAATGAATTCAAGATCTTTGTTTTAAATAAATAAGTAAATAAATAAAATCCCAATTCAGCATCTGTTCCGAGCAGAAATCCTCAGGCAAAACTGCTTAACCTCATGCAGAGATGATCCAGGGCTTTCGCTGGGCTCTTAAAGCTCCCAACTAACGCAATCCTCGGCCACGGGAAAAAACAGGTCTTAGCCCACAAGCCTGCAAAGCCCCTCTCTGGGATGAAGCAAATACAGATGCTCCCCTCACTTCACCCAGACCCGAGCACATGCTCAAACACTTTGCACTTATGTGCTCTGTTGACATGGAGCTGCTGCATCTCTTGCCAGCTCGGCTATTTATTTTCTTTTTGACTGGTGCCAACATTTCCCTGGTTGTGTTCTGGGAAGAAATTTCCTAAGCTCCCAGGGGGGAGGGAATTTTGCCTTTGTGAAACCCAAGGCCTGCGATGAAGTGTTCCCTGTAACAGTGGCACGTTATCTGGGCTCGCAGAAACCCGTCACCACTCACTGCTGCAGAAACACTTCAGTATTGCTCTGGAGGAGGCTTTGCCACCCTTTCACACACCAAGAACGTAAGAGACAGCTTGGGTAAGTTAGATTTACAAGTACACTAGAAAGCAACAAAAATTAACTGTACTTTTGGTCTGCTTGCATGCAAAAAAAGGCATGCAGAAAAAAATGAAGCAAGTTATTTTTCTAGAAATCCAGAAATCTAGAAATTTCTAGAAATCTAGTAACCAGTGGCCACTAATTTCATAAATTGGATTAAGCAGCAATAGCATGGCATACTCCACCTACAAGTATCACTGCCTATACCCATCCCCAGGTACGTGTGTGCGTGCACAGATAAACGCTGCTTAGACAATAAGCTGCATTCCCACACCACCCTTGGACCTGCCACTTGAGGCAAATCATCATTATTTTAGAAGGAAAAAGGTTTCGGAAACTCTGTTTGATCTGGTCCATTTAAAAATGCACAAACAAGACATTAAATAACAATTAAATGCTCTCAATTAAAAAAACAAAACAACCCTGGTCGGGTGTTGCCAGCTCTCACAATCTCATTGCAACTCTTACAGCATATTTTGTTGTTGTTATTGTTCCCCTCGGTTTCTACTGCTGCTGCTGGGAGCTGGGGTCCCCTGGGGACATCCCTTGGCTCA